TTCTTAGTCACTTTAAAACTTGTAACATTCATATTCCATGGAAATATATTTTGATTTTGGCCCAGAACGCTGTAGGGCTCCATTGGTAATTCCGATTTCGAATTTACACCAATATACTTCATATTTGGTGAATTATTCATGTGAATTATTCATGAATGTTGCGCTCTAAATCGCCCAGAATTGAAAAAAAAATCGTTCTGGAACAAATTAAAGTGTCTTTCCACGGCATCTAAATGATATGTGTTAGAGTAAGCAATATCACTGAAAATAGTTCCCTCATAGAGACATTCTCGTAGACTGTTTTTTACCCCTAACCCCAATTCTCCCTATACCGCCAGAGTTTTTGGTGTTTAGGCCCTATACCACCTCGACCACGAGCCTATTTGCGACGGAGAAATGCTGCCTCTGAATAGGAGCTGAGGCGTTAGGGAGACACTTTATGTTTCCCCATATAGACATGTCCCCCAAAGGTATACTTTCTGACACTAATTATCTCACAAATGGTACTATTCACGAGAGTGTGAAACTCAATATTGCATTATGATCATAAAGGTCAATGAAACCAGTCTATAACATTGAAACTGGCAGTGTTATGGCGAAACGGTTGGGATAATGTTTGCTTATTAAGCAAATTTTCAACTTTAAACCTGTTGAAAATTTTACATTCACTTTCAAGAATTTTTTTTGGGGGGGGGGTGAATAAACCTTAACTTCAATGCTGGGCAAATTAAACATTGACGTATAATTGACCGTATGCACAGCAGCCATTTTAGAGGGTTGATTTGTTACATAGGTATTCTCATCTTGGCAGAACAAAGGCACTGCCCTCCAATATGGCCTCTGTTTGTGAGATCTATTTATTGGGCAAGACAGGTATAGTAAATTCACAAATGAAACATACATTTATATTTTGTAATTTGTAAATCATGGCTTAGTCGCTTATCATTCGTTCTTTTGGCAAGTGTATATTACCCTTCCCAGAAAATATTCAAATGTTTCAAACCCAATCATTTTCAAATCAATTATTAAACTCATCACTCGGTTTGGAATCTTTTCTAACTTGGAACTGTTGTGCTATATATACATTAAAATGTCTCTCTGAATGATATTTACCGAATGTATGCAAATTGTTAACAAGCTGCGATAACTATAATTAAACGATACAACATAGTTGAGGACAATTTTTTTTCCAATCCACTATCAATCTTATACCATAAAAACACTGACAATTTAATATAATTAATGCCCCTTGACATGGATAAAATACCTTTAACTAATAATTAACACTAAAAATGTGAAATATAACAAATATCCCTTGAAATGGGTAACAAGTCTTTCAACTACGCCGTCTCCTTAAATAGACATTCCACTTTTAATCTCTGTCTTCAAACCTTGATTATTTTCAATCAATGATATTACGCCCATTAATAAAGATTTGAAACATTTCTAACATGAACATGTTATGCTATTGTCTCTCAGAATAAAATTCACCGAATTTAAGCAAAAGTTTAACGGCTGTACTAACTATAATTATACGATATACGAAATCTATTTTCACTTGTGAGTTGACGCAATTTGTTTACAATTCAACTATCTATCGTGACTCGTGTACATTTTAATTGTGACTTGAAATTATGATAACTACTGAAAATGTCGAATATCCCTTAAAATGGGTAAGTGTCTTTAAAGTACGACGTAAATACACAATACATTTCAACTTTCAATTTTGAAATTAGGATAAACACTGAAAATGACATACAATAAATATCCCTTAAACTGGGTAAAATATCTTTTAACAACGCCGTCTTCTTAAATATACAATTCATTTCAACTTTCAATCAAAGTATGTCACTCAATAATACATTAAAAAGTGAACATCTGAAGTATATTACACATAGGGTCTACCGGTTTATAGCGTCTGACTAAAACACCCCTTAAACTAGCACCCCGAGAACTCAATGTCTTTCGTTCACGAACTGTCCCAATGAAGCGAATCTACTTTAGTACTGCGATATCATGCGGTTTCCAATTTGCCACACCTTAAATGACGTTTAACCTGCGTTCACCTTAATGTTCATGCGCGCGCATCACAGCCTTGCCAAGTGACCAATCACCACACGCCTCGGCGCGTGCACTGCCAATCACCGGTCAAGCAGTTCCCAATTTCTTGGCTCTGATCTGCTAACCACATAATTCTGCGCTGACGCCCACAAATTGTGTGCTTACCGCGCTAGCAGAACAAGTCTGTGCTAACCCATAAGCGCAGAATCCTTAGTTACGGGATATACGCATGCGCAGAAGCAAACATTCCTTACTAACGCGAGAAATACGCTTATCGTAAGCACGGAATTTTCTGCTATAGTAAGCAGGGATTTTTCGGTAACGCTAAGCAGAGACAAGAAATTGGGCCCAGAGCTTGCCCAAATCCTTACAAATCCTAACGCGAGAAATACGCTTACCGTAAGCACGGACTTTTCTGCTATAAGTAAGCAGGGATTTTTCGGTAACGCAAAGCAGAGACAAGAAATTGGGCCCAGAGCTTGCCCAAATCCTAACAAATGAAGGCTCATACAAAGAGTCTATAAGGCCTCATCTCAATAACCGCGAACGGATAGAAACATAATATTGCACAAAAACGCCTAAAGCCGATGCGAATATACCGTCTCCAAATACTTTCATTTTTCGTATCTCGCGTCTTTCTACATCCAGAACCCCGGGATACATGGACAGACGTGATCTGCATTTATGATTGGTCAACACCACGCATGCGCTCTTTGGAAAACAAGTCTGAATAATCAATTCTTTGTCGCTTTCCACCTTTGGTCTGTTTTTTGTTTCATATTGCATTACTCTCTGCTCAAAAATAACCATCTGGATTGCTAATTGGTTGCTGCATTCAATAAACTGACTCCATTTTTTCACACGCAGGACTGGAGAAACCAATTTGTTGATAGTATGTGATATGTTTGGTGTTTCAAGTATTTCTTTTCCCCGTTTGGTTGGCTGAAGGTAATTTCTTGCTAATTAGTATCTCTGTCTGACGTTGCTGAACCATTCAGAGTGCATTATTGTTCGGAGGGCATTCGTTATGGTCCAAAAGGTTCGTAGTTAACACAGGCAATGCCAATCATCTAGCCAATACAACCACAAAAAATTGACAATCGCTGATTATTGTGGAATCATTAGACACAGGTGATGGATTCAAGTATACATAGCCCTCAGGGAGAAAGATATCGCTCAAAAGCAACTTGGTAACATCTCCTAAAATATATTTACTTGTGTTGTGTTGTGTTGTGTTGGATTGTGTTGGGTTCTGCTTTGTTGTGTTCTGTTGGTTTCTGTTGTGTTGTGTTGTGTTGTGTTGTGTTGTGTTGTGTTGTTTTGTGTTGTTTTGTGTTGTGTTGTGCTCTGTTCTGTAGTGTTCTGTTGTGTTGTGTTGTGTTCTGTTGTTTTCTGTTGGTTTCTGTTGTGTACTGTTGTGTTCTATTGTGTTCTGTTGTGTTCTGTTGTGTTACTTAAATTTTGGATTTATTTACAAGCGATTTGTTTGAAGATAAACGGTTCTTTAACGTTCACGAATGATTTTTAACAAAAATGTATAAAGACAATCTTCTCAAACAAGCTTGAGAGATTGCGCTTGTTTCAAGCTCGAGCTGAAAGTGTCTCTTTAAAATCGCGAAAAGTTGATGTGTCATCTTTTTCTAATACAAGCGTCAGTGAAATTGCGAATTATAGTTTCAAAACCTGAAAATGAACAACATTAAGCACAACACAAAGATTGAACAAACTCCAACATTTCATTGTACACTGACAGCTATATACGTCCACTTGTGAGTGATACGTGCGATTGTGCACTTTGTGACTGAATCATGAAACATCGCACGTTGGTTCTTCATGCCATGAAGAACATTTTCAGATGTGGAGACATTTCATATTTGACCTCTGGTGACCTTTGAGAGGTCAATGACCTTTACATACACTATTTATAACAATTGTTCTTGAAATTGTTGAGTGATACAATTGTATCACATATTTGACCTTAACAGCCCCACTATATTGGGGAAACAATTTATTACTGTTTTTCCTACATTGACCTGCAATTTCAGTTCAAGTATCGAACGTTTTAGCTATAGGATTTCCAAGTTACTTTAACGTTTCATTAGATGTCCTAGAAAGATACTTTCATTTCATCCCAGAATGCCGTCGTACTCCATTTCTAATTAAGAGCAATATATTTCATATTTGGTGAAGTGTATTTCACGAATGTAGCGTAATAAATCGGGTAGATGTTGGGAAATTCGTTCTGGAGATAAAACTAAAAATATAGCGGAATTTAAATGATATATGTTAAAGTAAGTGGGAAAACCTACATGAAATTATAATAATGAAGGTTAATTAAAACGGTCTTTAAACTAGCAGTGTGGAGTCGCAACGGTTGTGTTCATTTTTGTTTAATAAAAAATAACTTAAAACTGATGTGTCCAAATCACTGTCAATTGAAATTACGATGAACACTGAAAATGTCAAATATGATAAATATCTCTTAAAATGGGAAAATGTCTTCAAACTACGCCCTCTCCTTGAATAGGAAAAACATTTTCAAATTTCATTTTATGTCAGCTACGTATTGTTATTTTAAAAATGTTCAATCAATAATGTATCAAACAGTGAACGAACAGCTAAAATGATACACATACGGGTTAAATGGTTTCTTACTAACGCCCCTTAAACAAAGACATTGACAAACAGGGGAACCGCCGACATATGGCTGGATAGCTCAGTTGTATAGAGACCGCAGCGGAGGTCGCAGGTTCAAACCCCGCTCAAGTCAATGTCTTTGTACCACTTTAAATATGTAGCTCAAATAACCTTTAAGAGTGCAGACTGATTAGCGATATTTGGCAGTGTAATTTACACAAACTAACCCACTTCAAAATTTGCGGCCTCCTATTTCGTTCGCCATGTCAAAGGGCCAAATGCAGATACATGGAACGATCTTTCTACTTACGACCATTCAGCATTTTTAGTTCACAAATGAAATGACGACCGAACCTGCAGGTCATATCATCCCATTTCCAATTGTATTCTTGTCTTATAGCAACACAGTCTTGGCCTTTCCCTCTTCCGTTGTCAGGCTGATCGCTTGCCCATCGCGTGAAGTTGGCACCAGAGCCGGCACTCCACACGAAGCGCGTCTCCCTCTCCATATCGTTGTATCCGAGCCAGGCCTTGACAGAGGGCAATTCTTCCAATGGATAAGAAGCTTTCAAAAGCTCCACTATAAACTGCTGTTCTTCTAAGCTGTTGATGGACACAAGGTGCGCTGGAAACCAATCAGAGTTGGACAATTCCCGACAGTACTTTTCAGCTTCAACCCAGGGCAACTTTTCAGTGACCAGTCGGTAGCAATCTCCGTCGAATGCTACCCAGCGCTTAGGGCAAGGCATGCAATGTTCTGCCCGGCCGCTGTCGAGTGTAAGGAGTGAAAAGAAAACGAAATAAGCGAATATTACCGAAAAGGACGCCGTACTTGCCAGATGAAAATTCAACCAGCCGAACGACTGCATGGTCGAGAATACCTCAAATTATTTCCATGCAAGCTTTGGGTGAAGATTGTAAAAATGTTGTCTTCTGTAACGACCACATTGAGCTGTGTAAAAAAATGGTACTCTGGCCTACGACTTGAACTGCGTTTTGTTTTCTTGAAGTGGAGGCACGCAGACGAGATCCAGAAATTCAAACAGGCAGCGCAGGTGTTTACCCAGACTTAATTAATACCGCTTCCCCACTTTAGATCTGAGAGTCAGTAGCGTACCGACGCCGCGCCTACACCACTGCTTGCTCAAAAGACTACATGTAGATCAATTAAAAGAAGCGTTAAATACCTAGTGCGTTTAGTATCATGAAAGCGAATGACGAATGCGAACCCCCTGTTCGTTCTGTCGATCATTGTATGACTTGCAAAGGCCTGCCATTCATTAGTTTGAAATGTGGTCTTCGCTCTGACAATTAAAGTAATTATCCACGGGGCTGTTGTGATGAAAGAACCGGTAACAAAGATTAAACGTGAAGCAGAGTGGCGGTTGTTTGGCAGCCGAATCGATCATAATGCATTCTACTTGTATATGTACACGCGTAACATAGCAAGGCCATTTTGATTAGAGGCGGGGGGGGGGGGGGGGGTTAGACGTGAAAAGTGACAATCGTCTCATCCCTGCACGCGTCTCATCCTTCTCATTGTATCCACTTTCCATATCAGACTTTCGTCAATATTTTATGATTTTCCAAGGCCTGCCGTTAATCGATTTGAAATGTGGTCTGCGATCTGACAATTAAAGTTAATTAGTTCCAAGGAGCTGTGATAATGAAAGAACCGGTAAAAAGATTGAACTTGAATCAGAGTAAGGGTTGCTGGCAGCCGAATCGATCCTCATGCAATCTGCTTGAACATGTACACGCGTGAGCAGTTGCGTATAGAGTTTTTTTTTGGTCAAAATTCTTTCGATCCTTAAAAAAGGTAAAATCGAGAATGGAATAAAAAAACATAGTAACGTTTGAAAGGTGGAAGTGCATGGTTTCATTAAAAAATAGGCATTGGACATATCACTTCGCGCAAGAGTAACATGATATAATTTCACCACTTATTGATTGCTTAGCTGCCATTTAATAAAGGTGCTTAAACGGCTTCCTCCGCAGTAATGTCAACTCCACATCAACCCCGCGCGAGGCCGGTACGGTTTTCGATCGCGCGTGTGAAAACCAAGACTTGTGGATCTTTTCACTCGTCGTAAGTAAAATGAAACATTAAACATAATTTACTCTGTCGAATCAAAGATAAATCTATTTATTGAAACGGAAAACATTCAATTTTAAATGTGATGAATTGGTCAAATAATTATTACTAATGCTAAAATAGCACTTGTGCACAAAGCTAAAATGTCACCTAACCCAGGTTTACCTTATCCTGCCTCCACGAATTTTGATTTACTTATGTTTTGGACCACAAGGAATCGATCTAGATGGTTTCCAACATTACAATTCCTCGTCCTAAGGTCGTTTCAACGATAGAACGACACGAATTTGTCGCTACAATAAGGCGTGTCGCCCTAATGCAGCCGCGATGAGCAAAATCTGACGCCTTTTTATTTGATTTTGTAGTTCTAACAATTCCATTATTATTATTATGGGAGTGGTAATACGGCGGACTGCAGTTTCGAACATCCAGTGAGCTATCCAGATCTTTTGAACGATGTTTCGAGTGTTTACGGGTACGGGTCAGCTGTAGTGTGAGTTTGTAACACCTCCTATCGGGGCACATTCCACTTCCCCATTTTGAAATACTCCGAATTTTTTTTTTGAAGGTGCATTTTGTTGAACAGTTTTCTCTCATACTATATTGCTCACTCTGATATCGCTAACATAAAATCCAACCAAGTAGTCTTTACATGCGGGATGTTTTGATGCGGATCCCTTGGGCAAAGTATTTTTCTTTTCAAATTCTCGGTTCATTTCATCTGGTTGACTCGCCGGTTTGTCTTCATCACTCACTTTTCATAGACGACAACGGTAAACATGCGCCAGCTACTGCAAAGCTAATGTCGTAATAAGGCGGTAGGATTTGGCCACTTAAATGTGTCGAGTTCAGTTTTGATAACACTCACATTGGGGGCCTCTTGTAAGAAAGCGTAAGAAAGTCCTCAACCTATCTCAACAAGTTTGATCTAGGATAAGTCGTTTGTTGGTGACGTAACTTACACCTGCGCACTAATATCAACATGCGCATGTTTCTAGTCAAAAGTTGGTCAAAACGTGCACAACACTTCTTTGTCCTGGCTCCCTGCTATGCGTTATGATGCGCGCGGCTATTGTTACCAGCGAGGCGACCAACCTTGAAAGGCGATAGGCTGGTTCTGAATACTCGACCTAACTACTCTGTCGACTAACCATAATTCTCGCTAGGATGAAAACTGATGTCGAACGTTCGTAACTGAACCTACAAAATAACTAGCTCTAGCTCTAGCTGGAGGGAGATGTTAAGCGCTTTTGATGGGCATTCTATGTCTGCATGTCTCATAGTAAAAGAACTGGGGAGATGACAATATACTGTTTTTGGTCAGTCATGCAGAAGAACAGTGCTCAGGTGATCCAAAAATAGACATAATTCGGTAATACGGTATAGGGCTCCCTCCATCGGTGAATTGACTTAGAATTAACTTCATGTAGGGAATGTACCACTAGGTCGTCTTTTTTAAGATAATACTCGTAGTGCTTTTACAATTTCGGCATGAAGTTTCTATCATAAAGCCGCCACACAGCGTTTATTGAAGGTTAAATGATGCGTTTAATATGTGGGAACTCACCTCCAGAAAGTCTTGATTTTAAATGAGTCGATCGCACTGCTTTATAGTTAGGGTTTCTCGAGTTCGCAGATAAAGTACCGAGGCTGAGTGCAAGGTTTGGTGCGCCATGTCCACCCGTAAGACCGATGACTGTTAACACAATCGTAGCTGCTCTCTGACTTAGGTTGGTTGGTATACCAATTAGTATACCCAGAACTCTGCAAAGATTCACTCCAGACAAACACACCCTCGCGTTCAATATCGTTCAGTCCCATCCACCAATAGTGAACACGTACTTGCTGGGTATCTTCAACATACTTGGCCAAGAACTGCTGCTCCGCTTCACTGTTGATCGTGACAAGGTGCGCATGCCCGAATCGACGGGGTGGCAACTGCTGACAGTAGTTCTCAGCATCCGCCCAAGGAAGTTTTTCAAGAACCAACCGGTAGCAGTGGTCCCCAAATGACATCCACTGGAACGGGCATGGACTGCAGCTGGCGTAGGTACCAACAATCGACAGAAAGGTAGACAGGACGAGAAAAGAGAGGCGCCGTACAGTTGGTGACATCTTCACTCAAGATGTAGAATTAGAGGCTAGTTCAAGTAGTCAACATTTTCTCAGCATATAAGCAAACAAATCCAAAGAGGGACCGGAATATTAATCCAAAATAAAATGTGGGAACCTCAATGAAACTGTAGGTACGTCGGAGCATAATACTCAAAGTATTTCATTCACGAACCTGTCAAATAAAACGGGCCCGAGGAAGCGAATGTACTTTGGTTCTGCGATAACACACGGTTTCCAATCTGCCACACCTTAGCATGACGTATCAACTAGAAGTGCTTTCACCTCAATGTTCATACGCGCGCATAACAGCCTTGCCAACTAACTAACTAATCCTCATACTCCTCCACGCTTGGCACTGTCAATCAACGCCCAAACTGACCTTGCCCAAATCCAATTGTTAAGCGTAAAAATCTACAACAGAAAAGCCCATGGTTACTGTTGGTATGTTTCACGAGTAAGCATGGATATTGGGCCTGTTAATAAGGAACAACCGACGTCATGGAAGTTAATTAATCTTACTGTAAATGGAAACCGACCGAGAGGGTCATTAACTGTCCTCGTTATCATACCAGCAGAGCTTAGTATAAAGCCCCAATCTCAATAATTGAGAACGGTGAAAAGAAATGTTGCCCGAAGCGCGCTTAAAGACGATTAACCAATTAGTGATATCACCGCTATACAATAAAGTGCACAATGTGTGTGGGTGTGAGCATGTGTGATCTGTTACACGGTACCCTCTGGAGACATGTGCACAATAGGGAACAAAAGATTGTACACGTCGCGTCAGGGCAATTTTAGTCTCCACAAGGTTATCACGAAATAGATATATTGAATTTACTCAAAAACTAGGAATTTACCGTGTGTCGATTAGTCGCCAATTGAATTTTTTTTATGTAAGGGATAATAAGTCCTAATTTTGGCCCAGGAAGTTAATTCTGGTTAAAATAGCAACATTTTGAAACTTCACTTTCAAACTCGAAAACTTTAGTACACGATAACAAAGAAATGACTCCGCAAGGATACACATTCCAGTATGTCTGGAGTTGTGAACAATAGATGTCTACGCAGCGTAGGGTCCCGAGACATTTGCAAAAACATTTGTGGGATAAACCCGCCACTCGCCTTTCCTATTTTACCGGTTCATCCGATCATCGGGCCATCATATAATTAAACTGAGGTGTGCGCTGAAAATTCGGACCGATCTGACCGTAAACACGAATGATTCTTTCGCATCCGATTTCACTGGATCCGATATCAACGGAGAGGTGTACGGGCAGCACTTCGATTTCACTGGACGCAATATTGATGTTGACCAATCAGATTCACGAAGAAAGTCACGTGTCTGCAGACAGTAAATAAACTGCCATAGAAACCCAAGTGATAGAAACACCCACTTCCGAAATTCAGGGACTCACAACTCTCCAAGGTGTTTGAGACACACATCAAATTATAGCTTATTTCATCATATTTCATTTTCTGTTCATTTTTTTTGATGTTAACCAGTGGATTTTGGGAGAACAATCCATCGAAAGATCATCACCTTTAAAAGTAGTACTGTAGCCCATCGCCATTTTAGAATTAGATGCCTGCGCTCCATTGCAATTGTAAGGCCTAATTTCATCCGAATTTCACGGAAATACGAGCTTGCAGTCATGTGCACGGCTTTCACTCTTCCTTTTTTTTATTTTCAAACCATCAAGTTCATGTCCCACATGTAACCAATTATAGAACGGAATTTGGCGTGTATGCCGGTTACTTTGTGTCAAGGGCGGATCCAGGGGGAGGCCAAAGGGGGCCATGCCCCCCCCCCCCCCAAAACGAAACCATTTTTTTTTATTTTTATGTGTCGTCGCAATAAAGGCAGGCAATGACTACACCACCATCTTTTCCTGAAAAAAACATTGGTAAAAGTGGTCAGAAATTGCCTCAGATCGCACCACAGAGCATCTAGAATCAAAAAAAATTTAGGGGCCCTTAAGCGGGCCCCGAACCCCACGCCGTAATTTTTTGACCCACTTTTTGGGGGGACCAAGTTTTTTTTTGGCCCCCCCCCCAAAAAAAAATTGTCTTCTGGATCCGCCCTTGCTTTGTGTGCGTAACTAACGGCAAGTAGAACATGAAAGGGAATCAAGATCAATATTGGCACGGGCTAAATTTGCACTGTGGTTTCCCAAATAGAGTTATAGCTGTTAAATATGTTGATGTGCATAAACGCCTTTTCACGGAAATAATGGTAGTAAACGCGAATACTACTTTTTGTGCATTATCACATCTTTGAACAGCGACCTCTATAGTCAGACGGTGTCCCTCCCCCTCTCCTGATTGTCTTATTTCCCAGGCTGCTGGTCCTCCAACGTTGACAAGAAATCGCCGCTACTCATTGCAATTACAGCCCTGTTGATCTACACTTTTATTTGACACCGGTTACTGCTTAAATAGCCTCGGTCTTTCGAATTTTTAGGTACCATCACTTCCGTGGGCTCCGGAAAATTAACCCCCAAACAAGCCCAAGTTTCCCATAAAAAAAACAAATTTCCGTTTTCACAATAAATAAATAAATAAATAAATCAATAAATAGATACTATGCAAATATTGAAGGTAACTCTTCGTGAAGTTGACCTATCGCTGTAGAATCGCCTTAGAATCGCGTCAACGCAGCTTGTGAAATATCGTTCAATTACATGATATACAAATGAAAGCGGAACGTGCAAAATCTGAGACAAACAAAATTAAGTGCACAAAAATTCCATAGGGTTGTCTAAGGGGCGTGGCTAACTCGTAAACGGCGATACGTCAATTACCCACAAAAGCGTCTGATGAAATGTAGCGCGACAAACTGATGTGTCATCTTAGTATAACGTAAGCGTCGGTACAATTGCGAATTATATTTTTTAAATTTGAAAATGAACACTATTTTAACACAACACACTATAAATAAACTTCAACAATATAATATTTCGAACAACAGAACATTTTACATACACCGATCTGCAATAACGGGTTAACATTCAAACTTTTGTTGCCATAGGTTTGCCTACTTACTTAAACACTTGTATCATTGAATTACATGAAAAGAGACTCTAATTTCGTTCAGATCGTCGTTGGGGTCCATTGATAATTCCGATTTTGAGAACTTCGTTCAGGAACGAACTTAAAGACTCCTTCCACGGAATTTAAATTTTACAAGTGTTAAAGTAAGTGGGAAAACTTGTATACCATTATAATTATAAAGGTAAAATAAAAACAGTCTTCAAAATTTAAACTATCAGTGTTATTTTTTACTAAAAAGAACGTTAAAACTGATGAAAAGGTAGCAATCACTATCATAATTTGTTGTTGTTGTTGTTGAAAGTACCTTAACTTTACTGCTGGGCGATTAGGAATGCACTCAAAATTGACGCCTGGTAAAATATGCCGTATGCATGGCAGCTATGTTGGAGGGCTGATTTGTTATACTGGTATGCTCATACCTTGACAGAACACACGCACTGCCCTCCAATATGCCGCTGTGTGGGAGATCTATTTATCGGGCAGGACAGGTGATAACAATTTGAAAAAGAAACATAATTATGTGTATTTAGTAACTTTAAAATTATGGTATAGCCACTAATCATTCGTTCTCATGGTAAGTGAAGTGAATTTCTCTGAAAACTAATCAAATGTCTTTTAACTTCGATAAATTTCAATCCATGTCTTTGCCAAATGATTAAGATTTGAAACTTTGCTGAATTGAAATTGTTATGATATACATGAATCGTCTCTCAGAAAGAAATTCACTGCATTTTAGTAAAATCTTAACAAACTGCGCTAACTATAATTAGAGGATTAAAAAAAGAAATGTCACTTGTGTGCTGACGCAATTTGTTTAAAATTTCACTATCTATTGTGCACATGTTAACCGTCACTTGAAATTACGAAATACACTGAAAATATCAAATATAATTAATGTCCCTTAAAATGGGTAAAATGTCTTAAACTACGCCGTCTCATTGAATACACAATACATTTCAACTTTCAATCTTGAAATTACGATAAACATTGAACATGTCTAATATAATAAATGTCCCTTAAAATGGGTCAAAAGTCTTTAAACTACGCCTTTTTCTTGAATACACAGCACATTTCACCTTTTAATCTTGAAATTATGATAAACACCGAACATGTCAAATATAATAAATGTCCCTTAAAATGGGTAAAATTTCTTTAAACTACGCCGTCTCCTTGAATACACAATACATTTCAACTTTCAAACTTGAAATTATGATAAACACCGAAAATGTCAAATATAATAAATGTCCCTCAAAATGGGTAAACTTTCTTTAAACTACACCCTCACCTTTAATAGGAAATACATTTCAAAGTTCACACTGTGACAGCTATGTATTTCTTTTTTTCAAAATATTTCACTCAGTAATGCATTGAAAAGTAAACGGACGGCTAAAGTAATACCCATGTGGGTTTATGACTTCTTACTAGCGCCCTATGAACAAAGACATTGACAAAGGGGGGAACCGCCAACACAGGGCTGGATAGCTCAGTTGGTAGAGCAACGGAACAGCAATCCGGAGGTTGCAGGTTCAAACCAAGTTCCAGTCAATTTCTTTTTTCAACTGTAAAAATTTTGCAAAATAATTGGTGCAAGAATGTTTTAGATCTTCACAATGCAACAGATAGAACAATGCACTTTTACAAACTGTACAATATTTCACATAAGTTTGCAAAGTGACCTAATCTGTGTGGCCGCTATGTATATTTGTTTGAAAAATATTGAATTAACTCATTTTAGAATATTTATTGGTTACAGGCATAAAAAGAATTGAAACATTCTCTAACTTCGCACTGTCGTTTCAAACTAATTGAATATGTAAAATCTTCTCAATCAATGCTTTCAACGTAATAGATTTAATTATTTTTGCATTTTCTTACAGATAACAATACAACTATACATTGAAATGACAATCACGTAAAATTTCCCTTAAAATGGGTAAAATTCAAAACATTATATATCTATACTATTTCTTTTTAATATTCAATTTTTAAGCCAATGCACTTTTAAGACCGATTCTCCAGGTTGGCATCGATAAACATAACAGACAATATGATAACTGAGAAAATCACAATCATCTTATTAGCTATACTAAAAAGCAAACATTGCTTATTAAAATGTCCCTTTAATTGGATAAAACCTGTTTTAATATCTCAATGTTTGACAAAGCACATCGTGAAAAGAAAAACAAAACAGATGCAAATACAACACAAAGGGCACAAGAAGCCCTTTTTGTCGGACCAATGTTAATTATTTACCTGTTATTTTATAAGGTGTTAGTTACAAATCTCGCTGCAGTGTTTGAGTCGTTTGATGTCAGTATGTACATTGCCCCTAACAATATTCCTGCGCATAAGCACCTTAGCCAGCCGCTTTTGAAACTAATTGAATCTGACAGTGAACACAATCTGGCTCTTATTAACACACTCTTAAATGTCCAGGTCAGATTCGACCTAGAATCCGGGTCCGATATGACCTGACTCACTTCTGGGTCAGACTGACACTTCTCTGAGTCACTTGTCAGGATCATTTAGTCCGGAAAAATAGGTCACGAAAACTTGTTAGTTAAATGGCCCTAGAAAAGAGTCTTTGTACACAAACACTTCTGATTTTGATCCAGAAGAGTGCCAGGTCAAATTTGACTCGGATTCTGAGTTGAATCTGACCCAGGACTTTTAAGAGTGCAGACTGATTAGTGATATATGGCAGTAATATTTCGCTATCCGAGACACCCTTAAAACCCCTTAAAAATAATAACCAATCGTGAGCTAATTTTACCGTTTTAGTTGCAACTTTCAAACGTTGACACACATAAACATAACGCCGGCTATATTTTTAAGCGATGGAGCCATACTCACTCTGCTTTTAATTCCATTAGCCTTTTTGAGATATGGTGGACACATAGGAGGGTGTTATTTGTTGTCAATGAACGTTTTTGTAATTTACCCAAATTGGCCCACTCCAAGATTTGCTGCCTCCTATTTCGATCGCCACATGTCAAAAGGGCAAACGCAGATACAAGAAACGATCTTCCTACTGACGACCATTCAACATTTTTAGTTCACAAATGAAATGACGACCGAACCTGCAGGTCATATCATCCCATTTCCAGTTGTTTTTTTGTATTATAGCAACACAGTCTTGGCCTTTCCCTTCTCCGTTGTCAGGCTGATTTCTTGCCCATCGCGTGAAGTTGGCACCAGAGCTGGCACTCCACACGAAGCGCGTCTCCCTCTCCATATCGTTGTATCCGAGCCAGGCCTTTACAGAAGGCAATTTTTCCAATGGATAAGAAGCTTTCAAAAGCTCCACTATAAATTGCTGTTCTTCTAAGCTGTTGATGGACACAAGGTGCGATGGAAACCAATCAGAGTTGGACAATTCCCGACAGTACTTTTCAGCTTCAACCCAGGGCAACTTTTCAGTGACCAGTCGGTAGCAATCTCCGTCGAATGCTACCCAGAGTTTAGGGCATGGGATGCAATGTTCTGCCCGGCCGCTGTCGAGTGTAAGGAGTGAAAAGAAAACGAAATAAGCGAAGATTACCGAAAAGGACGTCGTACTTGACAGATGAAAATTCATCCAGCCGAACGACCGCATGGTGGAGAATACCTCAAGATCATTTACATGCAAGCTTTGAGGTGAAGATTGCATAAATTGTGCCTTCTGTAACGACCAGATTGAGGTGTTCTGCAGTGTAAAAATGGTCCACTGGCCTACGACTTGAACTGCGTTTTATTTTCCTGAAGTGGAGGCACACAAACGAATTTCGAAAATTCAAATAGGCAGCGCAGGTTTTTACTCAGACTAACTCAATACCGCTTCCCACTTCAGATCCGAGAGTCAGTAGCTTACCGACACCGCGCCGACACCACTGCTTGCTCAAAAGATTTAGTATCAAGCATAGCAGGAGACGAATGCGAACCCCTGTTCGTTCTGTTCATTATTGTATGACTTGCGAAGGCCAGCCGTTCATCGGTTTGACATGTGGTCTTCGATCTGACAATTAAAGTAATTATCCACGGTGTCAGCGTTGTCCTAGCAACACGAACGCTTAAATTAAGTATACATTTGTACATTTGTACATGTGTGTTGTACATGTGTGTTTGTGTCAGTAGTCCGTGTGTATTGTTCGTATTCGTTGTACCATAAGTAGACTGTAAGTATATAACTAATAAATAATGCATGTGTCTTATAAATATTCATGTTGCCATGGTCCTATCCTTTGTATCTTATGGCGTTCTTGGTATTCTTTAAAATAAACCCTGCCTGTCATGTGACCCGCAGCCCGCGCGTTTTATAAAAAAGATAGAGATACGACAAAAACAGAAAGACGCCGATCGCGATCAATCTGTAGAAAAAAAGCATTTTGCTGACTGCAAACTTGCAATATCGCCTAGACCAGGTCTTGAAACCGGCGATGAACTCCAAGAGTCATACTGGACTTTGATCTGCCATCAGACCGTAAGTTTAAGGTTCTGATTTCTTTTAAATAAACATGCTTTTGATTGTGTTATTTAGATGGCAGTAATATATCTGGAGCGTTACTTGATATAAGGCGTTTATGTAAATATCCTAGAGACATCATGTTTCTTAAAGATGAATAAGGCTATATTTTCTAGATTAATTCTCTGTTTTATATCTAGCTCAAATTTAGCGTTTATTGCCTTTTATTAGAGTCCTTTTAAATATGGCTCTATCATAATAATATTTGGCGATCATTTAATAGTTTGATAAATTTTGATTTAACTATTTGCAATGTGGGATTGTACACATGTACCTCTTAAATCCACAATTATAAATATTGCAGATGGCAAACTGGCTTAGCTAGAAGCCGTTATCCCCAAAGACCGTCGCTTGAGGCAGACAGGCCCTGCGACAGGCTGACAGCAGCTACCCAGCGTAACCGCCGTCAAGCTGGTCGACCGTGACGCCCGGTTTCTACATCACCCGGCTGCCTACAACAGAGGCTCCGTCGAGCTGGCTGCGCACCGTCAAGCCAGTGGTCCAAGTGCGAGAGAATACTCCACCCATGCACATGCCAACGCAACTTGAGCCGTAAACTATACGGTGGGCCCTAAATATTGAATAATTATTGCCGGCTTAGAGTAGGTTTAATATAATAGTATTAAAGTTCATTTAATTAGGTGATTTAACTATTTGTTCGTGTTTGCTTCATTAGATTCTTCTTAGCGTAGGTTAAACTTCTGTTGATTTAACTTGGTTAATTTAAATAGATTTGGTTGATTATAAGTTCTATACTTCAAGCTTTGACTTTTCTGCATTTAATTCATTGATCCATTTGCGTTACCTAAGGTTAGTTTTATACCCATCTTTGGTATTGATTTATACTATTTGTTGGGTTACCATCGCCTCATTCTATAAATAATTTTCGTAAGGATTTGTATACATCATATTTGTAAGTATTATTCGTAGCCTATAAATATACAGTTTGTGCATATTAAATAATTTGTAAATATACAGAACGTGTCAGAGGATTATTATTGGTGTTTGCACGAAGTCGTGGGTGGGAAAACCAGTCCCGAAAATTCCACTGCACTAATTTCTGGGGGCAGTTGTGACACACGGGGCTGTTGTGATGAAAGAACCGGTAACAAAGATTGAACGTAAAGCAGAGTGGCGGTCGTTTGGCAGCCGAATCGATCATAATGCATTCTACTTGTATATGTACACGCGTAACATAGCAAGGCCATTTCGATTAGGGGCGGGGGGGGGGGTGGTTAGACGTGAAAAGTGACAATCGTCTCATCCCTGCACGCGTCTCATCCTTCTCATCATTTCCAAGGCCTACTGTTAATAGCTTTGAAATGTGGTCTGCGATCTGAAAGTAAATTAGTTCCAAGGAGCTGTGATAATGAAAGAACCGGTAAACAGATTGAACTTGAATCAGAGTAAAGGTTGCTGGCAGCTGAATCGATCCTCATGCAATCTGCTTGAACATGTACACGCATGAGCAGTTGCGTATATAGGGGGGGGGGGGAGACGGGTATTTAAAAAAAAAAAGTGGTCAACATTTCTTTCGATCCTTAAAATAGGTAAAATCGAGAATGGAATAAAAAAAAACACAGTAACGGTTGAAAGGTGGAAGTGCATGCTTTCATTAAAAAATAGGCATTGGATATACCACTCCGCGCGCGAGTAAAATTATATAATTTTACTGCTTATTGATCGCTTAGCTGCCATTTAATAAAGGTACTTAAACGGCTTCCCCAGCAGTAATGTCAACTCCACATCAACCCTGCGCGAGGCCGGTACGCTTTTCGATCGCGCGGGTGGACATCAAGACTTGTTTATCTTTTCACTCGTCGTAAGTATAATGAAACATTCAACATAATTTACTCTGTCGAATGAAAGATATATCTATTCATTGAAACGGAAAACATTAAGGTTAAATGATGCGTTTAATATGTGGGAACTCACCTCCAGAAAGTCTTGATTTTAAATGAGTCGATCGCACTGCTTTATAGTTACGGTTTCCCGAGTTCGCACATAAAGAACCAATGAGCAGTGCAAGGATAGTTGAACCATGCCCACCCGTGAGACCGATGACTGGCAACACAATCGTGGCTGCCGCCTAAATGTGGGTAGCTTGGAATCCACTTAGTGTACCCAGGGCTCTGCAAAGATTCACTCCAGGCGTACACTCCCTCGCGTTCAATATCGTTCAGTCCAATCCACCAACGGTTAACATGTACTTGCTGGGTATCTTCAACATACTTAACCAAGAACTGCTGCTCCGCTTCACTGTTGATCGTGACAAGGTGCGCATGCCCGAATCGACGGGGTGGCAATTGCTGACAGTAGTTCTCGGCATCCGCCCAAGTAAGATGTTCAAGAACCAACCGGTAGCAATGGTCCCCAAATGACATCCACTGGAACGGGCACGGACTGCAGCTGGCGTGGGTACCAACGATCGACAGAAAGGTAGATAGTGCAAGAAAAGAGAGTCGTCGTAGAGTTGGTGACATCTTCACAAAAGGTTTATCGGTCCATAATGCTGAATTAGAAACCAGTTTATGTAGTCAAAATATACACAGCATATAAGCGAGCAAATCCAAACAGGGACCGGAATATTAATCCAAGATAAAATGTGGGAACCTCAGTGAAACTGTCGGGACGTCAGAGCGTATAATACTCAAAGCATTTCATTCACGAACCTGCCAAATAAAACGGGCCCGAGGAAGCGAATGTACTTTGGTTCTGCGATAACACACGGTTTCCAATCTGCCACACCTTAGCATGACGTATCAACTAGAAGTGCTTTCACCTGAATGTTCATGCGCGCGCATTACAGCCTTGCCAACTGACCAATCCTCACACTCCTCCACGCTTGGCACTGTCAATCAACGTCCAAACTGACCTTGCCCAAATCCTAACAATTGTTAAGCGTAACAATTTACATCAGAAAAGCCCATGGTTACTGTTGGTATGTTTCACGAGTAAGCATGGATATTGGGCCTGTTAATAAGGAACAACCGACGTCATGGAAGTTAATTAATCTTACTGTAAATGGAAACCGATCGAGAGGGTCATTAACTGTCCTCGTTATCAAACCAGCAGAGCTTAGTATAAGGGCCCAATCTCAATAATTGAGAACGGTGAAAAGAAATATTGCTGGAAGCGCGCTTAAAGATGATTAACCAATTAGTGATATCACCGCTCTACAATAAAGTGCACAATGTGTGTGGGTGTGAGCAAGCGTGATCTGTTACACGGTACCCTCTAGAGACATGCGCACAATAGGGAACAAAAGATTGAACACGTCTCGTCCGGGCAATTCCTATCGGTGAATTCATCTGCACAAGGTTATCACGAAATAGATATATTGATTTTACTCAAAAACTAGGAATTTTCAAGGTGTGTCGATTAATCGCCAATTTTTTTATGTAAGTGATATTTAGTCCTAATTTTGGCCCAGGAAATTAATTCTGGTTAAAATAGCATCATTTTGAAACTTCACTTTCAAACTCGAAAACTTTAGTACACGAGAACAAAGGAATGACTCCACAAGGATACAAATTCCAGTATGTCTGGAGTTGTGAACAATAGATGTCTACACAGCGTAGGGTCCCGAGACATTTGCAAAAACTTGTAGGCATTTGTGGGATAAACCCGGCACTCGCCTTTCCTATTTTATCGGTTCATCGGATCATCTGGCCATCATTATAATTAAACTGAGGTGTGCGCTGAAAATTCGGACCGATCTGACCGTAAACACGAATGATTCTTTCGCATCCGATTTCACTGGATCCGATGTCAACGGAGAGGTGTACGGGCAGCACTTCGATTTCACTGGACGCAATATTGATGTTGACCAATCAGATTCACGAAGAAAGTCACGTGTCTGCAGACAGTAAATAAACTGCCATAGAAACCCAAGTGATAGAAACACCCACTTCCGAAATTCAGGGACTCACAACTCTCCAAGGTGTTTGAGACACACATCAAATTATAGCTTATTTCATCATATTTCATTTTCTGTTCATTTTTTTTTTTGATGTTAACCAGTGGATTTTGGGAGAACAATCCATCTAAAGATCATCACCTTTAAAAGTAGTACTGTAGCCCATCGCCATTTTAGAATTAGATGCCTGCGCTCCATTGCAATTGTAAGGCCTAATTTCAAGGTTATCACGAAATAGATATATTGATTTTACTCAAAAACTAGGGATTTTCAAGGTGTGTCGATTAGTTGCAAAGTGAAGTTTTTATGTAAGGGATATTAAGTCCGAATTTTAGCCTTGGAAATTAATTCTGGTGAAAATAGGATCATTTTGAAACTTCACTTTCAAACTCGAAAACTTTAGTACACGAGAACTATTAAGGATAGGAATTCCAGTATGTCTAGAGTTGTGAACAATAGATGTCTACACAGCGTAGGGTTCCGAAACATGTGCAAAAACTTGTAGGCATTTTTGCGATAAACCCGGCACTCGCCTTTCCTATTTTAC